CGTCCACTTCTTGGTCTGTCTACGGTGACCCCAGTCTGTCTGAAGCCCTGAATAAATCTTATAACCGTGATACGGTGGGATCTGATGGCGTTGGCAACAGCATTGTATGTCGACCCCATCTGCACCATCCCAATGGCTTTTTCTCTCTCTTCAGCTGTTAATCGTGGCATATTTCTCGTACTTGTGTATCATATCATCTTTTCTAGGCTCTCTTTATACCCTATAGAATCATTCTACATGTGAAATGGATGCAAATACTGCTTGAATATTGCTGCGTTTTGGCGATTGATATTGCTATGTGTAAACAGAAAATGGAAAAATGTTACTTTGCAAGCACAAATGTTTACAAAGATCATTGTAGAAGTTCCTAAACATTTTGTCACAATATCAAAGACACGTTTTACTTGTTTTCACTAATGCAAATCAGCAGAAAATGTTTTAAAAGACTGAAATCATAGGAATGATTATTTTACAATTTTACTCTACAACAGTTGTTTCTTGTTTTAATAGTTGAAAAATGGTGACTTTAAATGGTTTATCTTTGTCTCAAAGCAGAATTTTATTTCAACCTTTCTTTTGGACATCAAAATCACTGTTATTGGTTTATTTCGGCATGGACGGAAATAGGACAATTTATTTCTTCTGGAAAAGATTCATTTCACCTAAATATGAATGCGTTTGGGAATTTATTTTCGTGATTAGCATAAAGTTGTGTTGTTAAGCTTTCTTGGAAACTAATACCTTCTACCATATCTTTGATAGTTTTGAAGTAATTCATAAAGGTAGGAGGGTAACGTTTCTTTTGGCGTTTTATGGAATTGTGAAATCGTGAACTCAGACTGGATTGAAGTCCAAAACTGGATAAACAGCAAGACGGAAATCAATATACAGTTTACTAAAGAAACAATTCTGTTGGGCTTTCCTTCTAAACGAAATGACCCTTTAAACGTAATCTGTCTCGTAATAAACAACACAATTTTCAACGAGGAAAACTTTCCTTTGCTTCGATCCAGAGGGAGTTAACAAATTACTATAATATAACAAAAGCCATTGCTAACTCTAACTGTGATAACAACAAATTTGTGCCATAAGCTGTTTGTTTGAACCATTCTATTCCATTACTCTTTTCGATGAAACTTTGTTTATCGATAAATGACATTGGTCCAGTTGCCATAAGCAGTTTGTTTCAATGAAACATATGATAAATGACATATTATGACATATATGATTTGCTGTACAACAAAAAAAGTGGGATAAAAAAACCCACAAAAACATTATCGATTTCACCCTCTGAATGTCAATATTATTACGTCACAAGTAAGAAACATAATGTGTTTTGTCCTGAAATCGAAATAAATTGCCTTGCAAACGAAGGTATTCAAATGTTCAATGATGGATAAAAATGATGCAAACAAGATATCGTTATTCGATGACGATGTTAGTTATGGGAGTAACACATGTGTGAATACACAATGCCATTTCAAACTGCCATTTAGTGGAGGCCGCGGTGATGAATGGGTTAGACGGCTGACACTTGTGCTGGTGATTTGGTGTCTGACGGATGGGACTCAACCTAACAAAAGTACTAGAATCTGTACTTTAATGATGAAGTGGAAACCCAAATATAACATGTTTAACACATTTGTGCTTTGGACCTTCTACTGACAGAGTTTCAGTGACCGTTTAAGCCTGGTAGCGTTGTCATACTGAATTTTCAAGTGTATACCATCTTTCGCCTGGCGGAGTGAGTGAGTTGAGTTTTACGCCGCTCAATATTCCAGCAATATCACGGCTGGGGACACCAGAAATGGGCTTCACACATTGTACCCATGTGGGGAATCGAACCCGGATCTCCGGTGTGACGAGCGAACGCTTTAACCACTAGGCTACCCCACCGCCCCTTCGCCTGGCAGAAAACGATCACTGTATATGTAACTGATAGTGGATATCGACATACATTTGTATGTAAATGTTTGGGTTATATTTTCTAATAAACACCAGAGTTTTTCTCTGTTTTAGACGATCCCTTGACAGGATGTCGTAAAAATATATTTGTCTGGTATCCCAGCATGTTATTGTGAAGAAATGGTTAATAAAATATTTGCTGGATATATAGATATAAAATTAATGATTAATCAGTGTTATAAAACAACGTTTCATTTTGAGATATAGCTGATATTGATATTTATGACACTCATTTCATTCCATTGTCTGTGAACACAATAGCGTCGTTTTGACATGAAACTCATAATCGTGGATGCCAATCTCAGATTCCCTTTGATGATGTATCTAGGTCTCTCAGCAAAATACCTGTTTCTTCCCACCCACGACATGTGTCAACTGCGTCACTTCCGCTTGTCCTCCCACATCAAGCTAAAACGCCGCGATGTAATCGAAATACCTTTCAAATAGGTCTCAATCTAACTGTCTCACTGACTTTCTCACGAGTGAGTGAGTATGGTTTTGAGCCGCTTTTCGCAATATTCCAGCAATATCATGGTGGGGGACACCAGAAATGGGCTTCACACATTGTACCCATGTGGGGAATCGAACCCGGGTCTTCGGCGTGACGAGCGTACGCTTTAACCATTAGGCTACCCACCGCCCTTTATATTATATGGACCATTGTACACCTGAGAGACTTCATTAGAAATGCATGTCTTGTTATTATTATTTCTTATTATTATTCTGTATGGTTTAACATGAAATTTGATGTACAAGTGTGTATTTAAAAACGTCTTGCTTATCAGGATTGATGTAACTGTGAAGATATTTCTTCACAATATTACAAGGGAGGTTACTGAAGTTTTGATGAGTTCGTGGCTTTCTGAATATTCAACAAACCTACAAAACATTTCTACAGAAATACATGCCTTACGTTTTGTTTCCATCACATATTTGTTCCTATTTCATGAAGCTAGTTAGGTGCCTGTTATACAGCTGTAGCAACCATTACCAATTCAGCCCCGCTTTACCTTTCACATATATTGGGGCGATGGGGGTAGCCTAGTGGTTAAAGCGTTCGCTCGTCACGCTGAAGACCCGGGTTCGATTCCCCACATGGTTACAATGTTTGAAGCCCATTCTGGTGTCCCTCGCCGTGATATTGCTGGAATATTGCTGAAAGCTCACACACTCGCTCACTCACTCGCTTCTTTTGATGTTGTCAAAACGTAATGTAATATTTTCTATACTGTGTTTGAAATATTTTTTTCAATGTTATAAGGCTATTCACTATTTGCACACATCCACTTTTTCAGACAACTCCCAAATTAAAATGGCGTTAAAAGGTATATATATATTGACATTCCAATTCCGTATGGAAAATTTCAAAGAGCAACATGCATTTTCGAAAATATGCGTGTTTATCAACTGAAAACATCCCAACTGTCAATCCTTTTAGAGATTGTAATCATTAAAACATTTTGTGTTAAGTGTCTCCAAGGACACTTGTTCCACGCGATGACCATTCATCACTACAGTGATACCATTGAATTGCGATGAAACCCTTTCATCCGCCCCTGCAAAACTCGCGTGCGTGGCAGCCATCGGGCTGAAATACATCTTCCCAACGCTAATGCTCTTACTGATACGTCACATTGTGTTAGGTTTCCGAGTATCACTTGATTCTGCGCATGCTCAAACGAACATATATTCTTAGCCGGAAGTAAGAAGTCGTATTTGCAATGCCGACCTTGTTCGCTGTTTGAAAGCTCCTTGGTTTAACATTCATCACATTTGCGAGATCTCCGCGAGATTTCTGCGAGAGCCTATGGTCCGGGGACGACTATAGTAGAGTCATCTACATCGGTCAGGTTTCTGGTTCCATTAACGGAGATATTTGGCATTTATAGCATGCATTGGAAAGGTCATCGACACTTGTTGGCACGGCTGAGGCGTGATTAGTGTCCGGCTTTGTGCGGGATTCCGGCCTTGGCCGAGCTGGGGCAGTATCAGAGAGAGGGACATTACTCGTTGTTTGATGAGGACAATTTGAGGAATGGAATGGACAGGGATTTTGAGCATTTGCATTAAATACGGAATGAAAGGATAGTGAAGATATGCTTTGACTTGAAAACATCCTCACATTCTTTCCATGAATAGTGTGTCAGGGTAACTGTAGGTAGCATACTCACCTTGCTGGTGTACTCTTCACTGTATCTTCACTCTAAAGTGTGCCTACAGCCGCAACACAACACAGTGCACTTCACCGCACCGCACCGCACCGCACCGCACCGCACCGCGCCACGCCGCACCACGCCTCATCTTACCACACCAAACCGCGCCGCGCCACACACACACACACACACACACACACACACACACACGCCACATTACTCCACAACACTACACAATCTATCGCATCACACCCATACCACGCCACAAAACAACGCCCCACACCACAACATAAAAGAACAACAACTCACTCCATCACACCACACATCCACTCCTCTCCTCTCCACTCAACTCAACTCAACTCCTCACCTCTCCTCTCCACGCCCCGCGCACGCCTCTTCACTCCGCACCACTCCTCTCTACTCCGCGCTCCGCACGCCACACCTCACCTCACCTCACCTCACCTCACACCACCTCACACCACCTCACCTCACCATACCATACCACACCACACCTCACCTCACACCACCTCACCTCACCACACCAAACCACCACACCACACCACACCACACCACACCACACCAAACCACACAACATAACACAACACAACACAACACAACACAACACAACACCACACCACACAACAATTCAACACAATATATTATTATTACCCATACACAAACAAATTACCCATACCTTGCCATGTCAGTATAGAATTTTCAAACACTACAATTCCCAGTTACATTACCTGACACTCCAGTAAACCAACACCAACGACGCGCTCAACATTTTTTGTTTGGCGCCTACGGTATATCTCATCATATCCTCTCATCTTGTCTGCAAGTGTGTTCATTAATCACTAGATTTGATATCTCCCGTTCCAGGTACAATCATCTCGGCCTTCTCTGTGTTATGTGGAGCTAAGACGAGGATAGACAAGCCAATTAAAGCATTCGGATTAAACATCTTGTCAGCACTTCTACAAATGGCGTCCTTCATCATCATAGTCGGCTGGGTGTGGAGCATTATCTGGGGGATGAACTTTGTCCAGATCGCAAGTATGTAGACATAGCCTGATTACATATCCTTCTGTGCTGCAACAGCTACTTACACAGTCACCTCACAGTAACAACCCGTGAAGATCCGAGTTAGAATTGGTCTCCAGCAACCCGTGCTTGTCGTAAGAGTCGACTAACGGGATCGGATCTGACTTGGTTGCCACATGTCATCGTATCCCAATTACGTAGATCGATGTTCATGCTGTTGATCGCTGGATTGCCTGGACCAGATTCGATTTTTCCCAGACCGCCGCCATATAGCTGGAATATTGCTGAGTGCGGCGTTAAACAACAAACCAACCAACCAACAATTACCGTAAGGCCACATCAAATAAATTTACTGTTTCTCATCACTTTAAAAAAATAAAAATAGGTAGGTAGGTAAGGCGGATTTTAATTTTATTTTTTTTAATATTTTTTCTGATTTTCTGTACAATGTAAGTCGTTTATACGGTGAAACCTGCATGTTAATTATCTGCTATACGTCTGTGTACAAAATGTGCAAATATTATATCAACTGTATTCTTATCAAGGTGATTGCATCTTTGTACAATAAATAACCATACAAAAAGAACTGTTTTAACTTTAACTTTTATTTGACATATCCTCGTCAAATTAATGTGTCTTCATTAACGTTCTTAGAACTTTGATTTTGCAAAAACTATGAAAAAAATAGGGTCGGGCGGAAATGAGAAACAAGAAGTTATTTTTATGTGACCTAAGTCTCCAAGTGGATACTTGTGTGGTTCAAAAGATTGGTCCGTGGAGCTGAAGCCCCAACAGGTCCAATCAATCAACCCACCTTGATATTGCTGAAATATTGCTGAAAGAGCCAAGACACTTGTTCCCTCACTAACTCACTTTCGATGACCAGTGTGGTAGCCTCGTGCTCAAAAGCGTTTGTTCCTGACGCCGAAGTCAAGTGTTCGATTCCAAACAGCCACAAAACAACACTAAACAGATAATGGAGAGAAGAGTGATCTACGGTAATACAGAACTCGAAAGGGCCACCAATTTAAGTTCGTTATAACCGTGGTTGGTTGTACCTATTTCGACTAAAGCATATATGTGGTCGGAACAAAAACAGTTCGTCATATCCGTCAGTTCGTTATATACGTGTTCGTTATAAACATAGTTTAGTGTATGTTAACAGTGTGTGAAAATTTCTTATCGACAATCCTCGATGTCCGGGAGAGCATTATATACTCTCCCAAAAAGAAACGCATATAGGAATTTTAACTGTATTTTTATGTTTATTTTGAAACATCTTGTAGGCTTTATGAGTCAATGAAATATAGCGAAATTGCACACTGGGAATGCAGACTTATCCGTCTTTGGCACCAACTCGAGGAAAGTCAGTTTGAGTGTCACATGGAGACGTGTGGTGGCACTGAAGTCAATACCTCGTGTGACCACCGTGGGTACCTCGGCATCGAACGAATAAGTCTCAGAATCTCGTGTTGCCCAATCGCAGCCCACTCTGCCTGTAGTGCCTGTGCGAGTTGCTGAAGTGTCTGGGGCTGAGGGTTACGGCGTCGCACCCGTCTGTCCAGGGCATCCCACAGATGTTCGATCGGGTTTAAGTCCGGTGATCTTGAGGGCCAGGGGAACACATTGATGTTGTGGTTCTGGAGGAAGTCTCTAGTGTGACGTGCTGTGTGGGGCCTGGCATTGTCCTGTTGAAACAACTCCCTCTGGCGATCAATGATTGGAAGGAGGTGTGGGCGTAGGATTTCGTCACATTACCGTTGAGCTGTCAGGTTGCCCTGGATCATCACCAAATCACTTCTCCTACGGCAGGTGATCTCTCCCCACATCATAACACTGTCCCGGCCGAATCTGTCCACCTGGGGAACGTAAGCGTCAGCGAAACGTTCACGTCGACGTCTGTACACCCGCATTCTTCCATCGCATCGTTCCAATAGAAATCGTGATTCATCACTGAACCAGATTCTACGCCAATTCGGTAGGTTCCAGGCCTGAACGTTGGTGCACCATTGAACTCGATGTCGACGATGTTGTTGTCGAAGCAACCTGTTCCTGACGGTCTGTGCAGAAAGCCTCTTCAATCCGGGTATTTGTCGAGCGGTACAGGTCGCCGTAGCTGTTCGATGACGCAGGTGATGTACCCGGATGTAGCGATCCTGCGCCGCAGTGGTCGCTCGAGGTCGCCCTATACGAGGGGCATCTGCTACCGCATTCTGCCGGCGATATCTCTCCCAGAGCCGTGAAATGGTGCTTTGGTGAACATTCATGCGTCGGGCAACTGCACGTTAAGACTGGCCAGCTTCAAGCAAACCGATGGCGATATGACGGTTGGCTTCACGAAGACGTGGCATTTTGCGATCTTCAACAATATTCCAAATACAGTGAATAATCGACAGACAGCGATCAACCTTTTATACCCATCATTGAGACTATCTGATCCCCAACTTTCACGTGCATTGCATGTGAATTGTGTATTCCGTGACACAACACGCCGAAATTGAAAATCATGCTGTTAAATACGGGTATTTTACGGATGGTGCATTTTGTTGTGATGTTTCAAAACATAAACACCATAGGACTCATAAACAGAGCAAAACCTTTTGTAAAATGAATCACGTTTTAATTCATTGCTACATGAAATTGCTATTTTCATGATGCGTTTCTTTTTGGGAGAGTATACATTCCTGAGATATTTGTATATTGATTTATTATGAATGTTTATTATTTAATTTTTAGTCGTCATGTCTATACTTTCTCTAGTTAGATTGCATTGTGAAATGTTTAGTTATGTCGTGATCTAATGACCTAGTGACCTAGTGACCTAGTCACATAACGTAGGATGTAGTAAATGTGGAGAAATATACATGCATTTCTAATAGTTTGTTTTATGTCACATTCGTGTTTGTCACGTGTTTGTCACTTCAAAATAATATCTTATCAACAAGTCACGTGTGTAGAAAAAAACACCCCAGATGTGGAGTATTTCTTTTGTCCGTGAAATCTCGTTAACTACGAGTCCTCGACAATGTGTTGTATCGACTTCACCCATATAGTCAGGATTATTTTATTATACCCAAGTCAATTTTCCAATCAACTTGATTTTGCTTTCTTTGCTCAGAAGATGATTCTGAAGAGAGAGACGGAAGAGAAACCACTATGGTTTAAAGACACCTGTAATATGTAGCGGAAATACGTAGGTGTATGCCCCTTTAAGACCAAGCATGTCCTGACTAACGAACTCTTCAGCGATCTATTACCGACCCACTCGGGCTCCCTGCTGGGGAGACTGCGTCTTCTTCCTCTACATCTTCTCTTGACAGAACAACACGTGTGGCTTAACAAGATTGGCATTCGTTTCATTCTTACACTTCGCGTTAATACAAAGAGCTTATTTGAGTTCCTGTACTTCTTTACAAGGTAGGAGTAAAAGATGTGGTGATTCAGCATCTTTGGTCAGAACGAAACGTCAGTTTCACGTATATCAATATTACGTTTACTGACGTGTATCATTTCTCCTCCAGAGTAATTCTGTTTAACTTTGTGTGAATAGTGAGTGAATGTCAGTGAGTGAGTTGGGTTTTATGCCGACTTTAGCAATAGTACAGCAATATCACGCCGGGGGACACCAGAAATGGGCTTCACACATTGTACCCATGTGGGAAATCGAACCCGGGCGTACGTGTCGAGCGAAGGCTTTAACCATTAGACTACCTCACCGCCCCTTTTGCGTGAATAAAACATATATATGTGTTAAACTGACGTAAGTATGGAATCCTGGAAGGGACATTGTCGCGTTGTCGCATTGTCCTGTTGTAGCCCTCTCAAATACAAGCAAAACGAGGCAAAATTAACCAAAACGCGACACGCGACATCGCGACAATGCGACAAATGGGCGAAATGTCGCGTTGTGATATCGCGTTTTGGTTTATTTTGCCTAATTTTACTTGTTTTTGAGATGGCGACAACGCGACACTGTCCCTTGTCGGATTTCATACGCCAGGGCCCTACAGTAGTTTATTAGAGAGTAGGTTTTATTGAACGCCGTTTTGAACAGTATTTCAGATATATGTGCCGTGTTATTTTGTTGTGGAAAGCCAGAAGCGATTCTTACGAGCGCTTATATGATAAAATCAAATCAATTTTAACCGGGATTCGAACCGACGGCTGTGTCTTCGGGCTCTTAAGTGAAATTTGCGAGCACGTATGTGGGGTTCATACTTCCAAGAGAAACATGATCAAGGTTAACTTGGATTCGAGCGTGTCTTCGGGTAAAACAACATTGCACTTTTAACAACGGTGCCACCTATGCGTGACCATTCTTAGGGTTGAAACGCTGGCTCGTCAACAAAAAAGGTTCGATTTCCATCATGGGTACAATATAATTCAGTCCTTTTCTCAAGTGGTTACATAGTTAGAAATTATTGGAAACACTGGGCATAAATTAAAGATTATATTTAAAATTTGTAACTACCCTAATTTGACTTTTGATAATCCCCTGATTTGGGGATGGAGATTTTTACTCGATGTTGATGTGTTCATGTCCCTTGGGGGCGATGGGATAGACCAGTGGGTGAAGCGTTCACTCGTCATAGACATGGGTTCGATTCCCCACTTGGGCGCAATGTGTGAAGCCCATTTCTTGTGTCCCAAGGCGTGATATTGCTGGAATATTGCTAAAAGCGGCGTAAAACAAAACTCACCAACTCATTCATGTCCCTCAGAAGTCCTTTAGCTTTATCGAATCATACACGAGTCTGAATGAGTAAACCCGTGAAGATCCAGGTTAGAATTGGTCTTCAGTAACCCAATTCAGTCGTAAGAGGCGACTAACGGGATCGGGTGGTCAGGCTCGCTGACTTGGTTGACATATGCCATCGTATCCCAGTTGCGTAGATCGATGCTCATGTCGTTGATCACTGGATTGTCTGGTCCAGACTCGATTATTTACAGACCGCCGCCATATAGCTGGAATATTGCTGTGTGCGGCGTAAAGCAAAATCCAGCCAACCAACCAACCTGAATGAGTATTTCTGGCACCTTCAGCATGACGAATGGTACCCCACGTTCATCAAGCTATCTAGACCTGGCTTACCCTCCGTGTTCGCTACATAAAACACGGCGGAAATCTAGCATTCCCGGCAAGATTATATTAAATCCTTCAGATAAGCCGCAATACATTTTTTCCTGATAACGTTCGTGGAAATCGGCACGTAATGCCTGCCAAGGATATAACTATCGACTGGATCTTTGGGTCAGAGTGATGACGGCATAGTTACATGGGGGTACTTATCATCAGGTTAAAGTAAACTTTCTTCTATTTGTCAGCCTCGTAAATATTCGAAAACATCATTATTCCCATTAACCGAATTAAGTCACAGTCGTGATAGTTAATATCGAAAATATGCCAAAGACTACATCTTCAGCGACACGTTGCCAGTGGCAGTTCCACAACACTGTTGGGTATATTCGGTCATGTGATGATAATTACCTTAAGACGAACCCTGAAAATACAACCGTTAGATAGGAGTTGGGGCTAGGTAGGTGGGTGGTTGTCAATAATTATCATAGCAATAATAATGATGGTGATGATAAGAATCACTTACTATTATTATCAGCATCATTAGTAGCAGCAGTGGTAGTAGTAGTAGTAGTAGCAGTAGTAGACGTAGTAGTAGTAATGGTAATGGTAGTAGTAGTACCAGCAGCAATAGTAGCGGTAGTACTAGTGTTAATAGTAGTAGTAACAGCAGCAGCAGCAGTAGTAGCAGTAGCAGTAGCAGCAGTAGTAGTAGCAGTAGTAGTAGTAGCAGTAGCAGTAGCAGTAGCAGTAGCAGTAGCAGTAGCAGTAGCAGTGATAGTACTGAACTCAAAGGGAACGCTATCATCACCTAGGTCAACGGTTATGGCAAATTCCAGTTCTAATTCTCAGGTGCCCTTGGGGTATACAGCCCATGTTGCCCGTTAGGGCATGACAGATTTGCTTCCTCACTGAAACCTCAGGTACCAGTTCTTTACTGAGTGAACAGAGGCAACTTTCGAACAAAGTTCACTTGACCAAAGACCCACGAACTCAAAGCAGTCCAACTTGCCGCGCGCCGCCACCCATCCAACAACTCTCCGCCACCAGAGTTGCCATGACCTCTGCGTTATGCATGAGATCATATTTCACTTGGTAGAGATTGCCTGGTCATCAAAGCCGCCGATATTTGCTGTGCAAAGCAGCGGCCTTCATCATGCAAGGAGTGCGGATTCAAATCCCAGATTTGCCTATATTTCGAACTATATTTCGTTCGTTTATAGGTACCATACATTTATATACCACAAAAGGCTCATGCTCACTCACACAACTTCTATCTGCTTCTCCACGTGGGTATTTTAATATCCCCACATCTCTATTTTCAACAAATAATTGCATGTATGTTTGATCTGATATGGGGAATACATATGATATTTTAACGAAGCGTTGCTTTGCCGTTTGCTAAACTGGAACCTTTAGTGTGGTGTGGTGTGGAGTGTTACTAAACGAATGTATAGCTTAACGTATACCTTTAACCGTGTCGAAAAAGTGAATATTTCAAATACGCCAGTGTTTCAGAGAAATCGAATTGTCCTTAGCATGTTTGTTTTGGCACTGTAATCTGTGCTGTTTAGTCTGTTCGTAGTTTCAATTATATGTGTACAGATTCCATATTTTTTTTCATTGAATTTTAACACCTCCGTTTTCAGTGGCATCGGGCGAATCCCAAAGGATACCTTACTATGTCAGAAGGCAAAGCAGTGTAGAGTGATCTGCCCTTTGAGTCCTTCACACACACTGACCTATCGTCGGTGGCACGCGAGTGTCATCTAGTTATGCCGAGACGTCAAGAAACGCCAACCAGAGCAGAGAAAGAGGGAAATATCTTAGATTACACTCAGGAATGCGTGGATACAAGCCCCTCCGTTACTCTCTGGATGAAGGTTTTAGTTATCGTCTACAGAAACGTCTGTCGCTGACATGTGTGGTGTCCTATGTTGAGTGCATCGTGTCACGTGATCAGCAACTCGGCAGAACTCGGGCATTTCCGATTTTTGCGAATTGTATGTCCATATAATTTTTGTACATTTTCAAACGATGTGACATTCATTTTAATCATGTTCTGTGTGAATCTCCGCCAGAGTGGTCTATATTCATGTGTTATGTTTTCATGTCAAATGAACAGTAACGTGTTTGTTCTATTTTGATATCCGTTCTGATACGCCATTCAGATGATTATTACTTCATAGCTGATACGTTCTATCCTCAATACACGATTGTAAATTTTGATGCTTGAGATTGTAAACTTGATGCAATATTCATCTGTAAAATATTTCTCTGACTTGAACAAACTAAACCTCGTTTGATTCATTTAAAATTTCTGTAAATGTCACAGTCATTTTCGCTTAGGGCGAGGATGGTGATGTATATTTAGATCTAACTTCATCGGTACGTATAAATACCATACTGCTCGGAAGAGGTTAAGAAAAACACGCACAATTTGAAGGTTGTGCTGTACGAACCATCATACAGATTAAGTATTGTCATCTTTTGAGAAGTATATATTGGAAATGTGCCATTATATTGATTCCGCCTTTCGCCTTGGTTTAACATATTTGTTCACGTTTAAAATTCGACAAATACCAAATTTTTCGCTTCAAGGATATTCTGTCGTTGTCATCAACACTGCCAGCCTTTACGTTGTGGTCTTTTCATAATAACCTCAAGACGAAGTGTTCACCGGCGATCTGGGCCGTGTTACGTTGACCTTGTTAGTGAGGGGCGGTGGGGTAGCCTAGTGGTTAAAGCGTTGGCTCGTCACGCCGAAGACCCGGGTTCGATTCCCCACATGGGTACAATGTGTGAAGCCCATTTCTGGTGTCCCCCGCCGTGATGTTGCTGGAATATTGCTAAAAGCGGCGTAAAACCAAACTCAGTCAGTCAGTCTTTGACTGTGGGGCACCATTCCGGTTTATTGTTAGAGTTTTCCTTTTTCAATATTAGTGTTTTATTGTTTATCATAACTCAGCCCTCAACAAAACAATCCTATCCGTTTCAAGGCAGAAAAATATAACTGCATTCTTATGTTTATAATAATATCCTTCAGATAATAGATTTAATGATGATCATGATGTGATGATAATGATAACAGATAATGAAAATCATCAGCGATGATGATGCTGTTATCACATTGAATGATAATATCATGATCATAAATTTTTGAATAAAATCAGAATCGACGATGATGAGAGCATTCAAAACAATCAGGTTTTTTTTTAATTATACGCCAGCTTCCATTTACCTAGCTGAAACATTTACAGACTGCCGTGAGCAATCAGTGTCATTCTCAACTCCATGAGGAGAATACTATTTGGTTGGCTCTAATCCTTCGTCTGCGGGTAGCATAACTTTAGTTTCATCGTCGTAAACGTAAACTTCACTCCCATGGTAAACGGGGAAACTTGGCTAAATATATCTGGCACTCGTTCTATGTGAGTATCATGTTTGATGATTGGCCCTGAGGTAATCATTATCTATTACAACACAGCAACCATCGGCTCTAAAAGTGTATACTGTGTCTAGCTGGGTTTTCATGATAAACCGCAGCAAGGTATCCGAGTCAAATCTCATTTGGAGGCGGCGGGATAGCGTAGCGGTTAAAGCGTTCGCACGTCACGCCGAAGACCCGGGTTCGATTCCCCAAATGGGTGCATTGTGTGAAGCCCATTTCTGGTGTCCCTCGCCGTGATATTTCTGGAATATTACTAAAAACGGCGTAAAACTGAACTCACTCACTCATAACACAGTATTCAATAGTGGTGTTTAACACCGTGTGTCAAACTTGCTAAGCTAGCCCCTGTCACGGAATAGTTCACTCTTTCATGATTGTACATCACAGATATCAACATCTGCAATCTACTTCTTCAGTACATATTGCCAATGTTAAGGGTGCGTGCAATACGACGTCAAGAGTTATTTCCCTTTGATAATCTTTTTCAAACGGAACTGCAAGTTCTGTTTTACTGGTCCTTGTTCTTGGCTTTCCCGTTTTTATTCATTTTTTGACCTTCATTAGAACACTATATGAAAAAAGGAATGTAATGAGACACCGGTAGGCAAATTAGCCTATCGAAGCATACATTACATTTAACATCTTCAAACCAATACCTATACCACACCATATCATTGATGATCAATGGCGTTCAGTTTGCTCACTCCAGAGTGAGTATGTCTTTACGCCGCTTTTAGCAATGTTCCAGCAATATCACGGCGGGGGACACCAGAAAACGGGCTTAACACAATGTAGCCATATCGGGAATCGAACCCGGATCTTCGCACGACGAGCGAACGCTTTACCCATCAGGCTACCCTATTTCCGCCCCTCACTCCAGATGAAACCTATGGAAACACAATCAACTTAAGGTGGCCTTGCTCTGTTCAGGTAATTGTTGATCTTGTCCAAACTGAACCCATGATGTCTACACAAGGCCACAACGTGAAGCATAAATGACACTCTGATATGCATTTTGGGGGCACATGGTAGTTTCATGCGGCCTCTGATTACCAAACTGTATTTTATATATCTCTGTTTAACCTAGACCATCATCAGTCATAACCATCGCCCTATACGCGTTTAAAAGCACAACTGTTTGTATATTTTGAATGTATTTCATAACAGTACAATGCATTTTGTATATTGTTCGTTTATTTGGTGTGTGTACATACAGACGGCCTGACGATCCACAGGATCAAAGCGCTTCTTTGTTTTTCACTCGATCAATTGGATATCGATCTCAGCGGCACATCATATTATCAATCTCAACTCCCTGGGGAGCATACAACTCTTGCTACCACTAGGCGCACCGAGTTAATCTGACTTTCCCACTCTTTCGCGGTACCCATTCACAGCTGGGTGGACTGGGACACATAGTCACAGTACTTTGTCCAAGTTTACTGCACGTTGTTGTACCCGCAACTAGGTGTTTGCAAGTATTCATGTGGCCACCATCTGGTCATATACCAACGGATTCGTGGGTTCTTTTAAGTGCACAGGGTTGTTTACTGTTCACTAGGGGTTGTGACAACACTGAAAGAGTCTGCACACAAAGTTGACTCCAAGGTTTTTACGCCCGGTCACAGGTGGGCTCGATCCCGTCACCTAAGCTCGCTAGATCACTAGCCTGGCGCCTTAGACAGCTCGCCCACCACGCCCCCACTCCCAATGTAATATAAATCAGTTTTACTGACCGAATAGACAAATGCTTAGTCTCTGAATATATATAATTTTGATAGTAACAAACAAGCCCATTTAAATTGAAAAGGAGCCCCAGGGAGACCAGAGATTCAGAACCTGAGGAAATCTAGACTTGCTTCATTTAGACTTTTAACACTGCAGAGAGAGCTTGGCAGTAGGGAAAATAATGTGGTTCAGGGACTGTGAGACAGACTACTGACCGAGTGGTGAGGTGTGCATGTTATTCCACGGTCGAGTTTAGCGAGGCTCCGTTGTACTGAACAATTAATCTTGCCTGCTAAATTCAAAATTATAACAGTCCGTAATGGTTTTGTTTGACAGGCTAAAACGTATGATGAATTAGTATCCTTAAGCTTGTTAAGTTAATCTAATCAAATGGTACTTTTGTAATGTGTTTATTTCATAAGAAAAACGCATAAGTAATCATTGCATCTTGTATATTTTTACTTGAGTAATGCTTACTAATTTGTGATTGTAATATTGATCAAATAAAGGCATTGTAAATTGTAATCGTATTGCTTGATCAGTGAAGGGCAATGGTAATTGGTGATTGTATTGTTTGATCGGTTAAACACACTGGTTAATGTGCAATAGTTTAGCTTGAATAGTTGAACGCAATGTTGGTTTGTAATTCAATTGTTGAAAGTAATAGTAAGTTTGTGGCATTCTTGTTTCATGAGTTCCACTTAATGGTATGTTAGTAAGTTAATGAAATGTTATTAATTGGTCATGTGTGATACTTTTGATTTTGATTTTTTTGTTTGGTGGTATTTGAATAGCTGATGTTGTGTGACCTCAAACACAAATAGGTAAATATCTAATGTTATGACATTATTTTTGCACGTATGGGCAGTGTCGTGAAGGTCAACCATTATGTGATTATTTATCGACCAGCAAGTTTGTATTTAGCATCACATCTACTACTGTCATTCAGATGTCCTGTCAAATGTATTTTTGTTTCGACGTTGACGAGTTTTATGTTTTTTTTTGTCAGATTCGTTTTTTACATATTAAGTGATTGTGACGAGCGGCGGAGTATTTCAGAGAATAAAAGCTTCAAAACTAGTTGGTTTTTTTGTCAATGTATTTTGGTTATTTATATTTCTGTATGTTACACAATGGCCCAGAACAATTGGAGATAGCTTAATGCCTTCAGCATTGACACACGTCTGTGACTGAAGAGTGAGTGAGTGAGTGAGTGAGTGAGTGAGTGAGAGAGTGAGTTTAGTTTAACGCCACACACAGCAATATCCCAGCTATATGGCTAGGTCTGTAAATAAGAGGCGACTAACGGGATCGGGTAGTCAGTTTCTCTGACTTGGTTGACACATGTCATCGGTTCCCAATTGCGCAGATCGATGCTCATGCTGTTGATGACTGGATTGTCTGGTCCAGACTCGATTATTTACAGACCGCCGCCATATAGCTGAAATATTGCTGAGTGCGGCGTAAAACTAAACTCACTCACTCACTGCAAATAATCGAGTCTGGACCAGACAATCCAGTGATCAACAGCATGAGCATCGATATACGCAATTGGGAACCGATGACATGTGTCAACCCAGTCAGCGAGCCTGACCACCCGCTCCGTTAGTCGCCTCTTACGACAAGCATGGGTTACTGAAGATCAACTCTAACCCGGACCTTCACGGTATGCGAGTTTTAAAAAAATCAGTCGTATGTTTTCTGGAGTTATTCTATATCATAAGGACCGAAAAGCGTTTTTCACGTGGGATTTATTAAGAGGAGGAGGAGCGGGATTTAACAAGCTCTTTGAGAGGCAGCCACAAAGGAGCTTCAACATTGTAAGTGATAACACGATGCTTGTTATTACAGCTAAATATGTAGATGAAAACGGGATTTTGCACAAATCATCGCTTCAAAGGCAAAATCCACGTTAGATTTACATTCTGTGAGACAATTCTATCATGACAAAAGTTTGAAATTGGACCGCTCTGCATAATTAATGATTCGATTCCTTTATAAAGAGCATTCGGTGCTTATTACATCGATAACGATAACATGACGTCAAATAAGATAAATCAAACAGATAAAACACTATTGCAATAGTTGGTCGCAATAGTATATGTTGCAATAGACTATCGCTATCGCAATTGTTTTTCTCCATCAGTAGTCACCCCTAATGCTTACGTGGTAGAACCGCACCGATTTCACTAAACAATTTTAGCCCTTCTTTGGACAGGCGCGATGATGATGGTTACACACCACCAAATGTTTTCCCATAGACTTCTATAGTAACCTTATATTTTTTGTAAAAATATCCAGGCTATCAACAGCCATTCC